TCATTTTCTTGAAGCTCCTATGAACAGTTTTTATTTTCATAATTTCCTTCTCATCCTGTTCATTGTGGGTATACACAAATGCTAATGATTTTTGTGTGTTGGTATTACTTGCTACTTTGTTGAAGTTGGTTATTAATAAATGTTGGTCTTTTTATACATGTTTCATCATGAAAGGGTATTAGATTTTGTTAAAAACCTTTTCTGCATATATTGATAAGATCATGTTTTTGACCTTGCTCTTGTTTAGATAAAGTATTACATTAATTGTCTTACATAAATTGAACCTTACATCTTTGGGATGAAAATTACCTGACCTTGATATACCATTTTTCTTGATAATGTGTTTCATTCTATTTACTAATGTCTTGTTGAGGATTTTTTTCATCTTTTTTTTTGTCTTGTTTTTGTTTTGAAGCAGTTGATCTATAGCTCTTTTTTGTAGTTGTGTCTTTATCAGGTTTTGGGATCAGGGTGATACTGGCTTTCAAATTGAATTTTGGAGTACTCTATCCCTTTCAATTTCTTTGAAGAGATTGAGGAGCTTTGGAGCTATCACATCCTTAAAGGTTTTGTAAAATTTAGCAGTGAATCCACTAGGTCTTTGGATGTTTTTTAGTTGGCAGATTGTCACTAAGTTAATTTCAGTGCTTGTTATTGGGTTGTTAAGCATATTTATGTCCTCCAGAGCTAATTTCATAGTTTGTATGTGTCTGGAAATCTGTTCATTTCTTCAAAATTTGCTAATTTAATGAAATAGAATTTTTTGAAGTAGTTAATAGCTACCCTCTGGATTTTGACAGTGTCTATGATGGTTTCACATTTCTCACTTCTACTTGCGTTGATGTGAGTCTATTCTCTCTTGGTGAATCTGGCTAAAGGATTGTTTATTTATACCTTTAACAACCAGCTCTTGAATTTATTGATATTTTTACAGACCAACAACGTCTCAGTTTCCTTAATTTATGTTCTCCTCTTTATAATTTCCCTCCTTAATTTTGGTTTAGGGTTTATTTGTTATAATTTGTCAAGTATCTTTAGATTTCTCATCAGGTTATTTATTTGGGCTTGTTCTCTTTTCCTAATATGAGCATTGATTGTGTTGAACTTTCTTCTTAGCACTACTTTTATAGTGCCCCAGATATTTGTTGAGTTGTACAGTCATTGTCATTAACTTTCAGAAAATGTTTAATTTCTTCTTGGATTTCTTCTTTGAGTGATTCATTGCTTAGGAGCATGTTCTTAATTTTCCAGGAGCTGTTGCCCTTTCTGAGATTTTTCTGTGTTGTTGATTTTTATTTTTGTTACACTGTAGTCTGATAGCATGCATAGATGACTTCAATTCTTTGATCTTTACTTAAGTGGGCTTTGTGGACTGCTATATGATCTACTTTGCAAAATACTGTGTGCAGCTGAGAATTCATACTCTGTGTAGAGGTGCGGATAATCTGTCCATTTCCATTAAGTCCATATGTTTAAGGTTGTTGTTCAGCTCTGAAATTTCTTTACTGGTTTTTGTTTAGTTGTTCTATCTCTGCAAAAGTAAATTGTTCAAGTCCTTCACTATGATGACGTTCATGTTTATGTGAGCCTTTAGTTTCAGCAGGTTTTGTTTTAGGAACATGGCTGCTGTAGTATTTGGTATACAGATGCTTATCAATGTTATCTCTTTTGCTGGATTGTTCCCTTATCTAGTATGTAGTGACCTTTGTCTCTTTTAATCAGTTTTAACTTGAAATTTATGATGTCTGATATTACAATTGCTACTCCTGCTTGCTTCCGGGGTCCTGGTGCATGAAATACTGTTTTCCATCCTTTAATTTTTAGGCTATAAATATTGTTTTGGGTTAGATGAGTTTCTTGAATGCAGCAGATTGATGTTTTTATTTTTTGTTCATCTGATGGGTTATCTTTTGATTAGAGAATTTAGGATGTTAACATGGATATATATATATATATATATAATTTTAGGGAAGGGTCTACAGGGTATTCAGGGTCTCACCACTAGATCAGACTCATAGTGATCAGCCTGTTTACAGCCTCCCAAGAGCTAGGATTAAAGGCACATGCCACCATGCCCAGCCTCAATTGCTGTCTCAGCATGCCACAAGGGTGGGGCCAGCACAGCAGGGGCTTCAATCCGCTTATTTGGCTTGCCTATTAGTATATCATTTAAAAATATTTTAAGAATTTATTATTTATTTGGTATAAGGTCTTGCTATGCAACTCAAACTCAATAGTGGTCCTCCAATTAACTGCTAGATTCAGGGTGGTGAATGAAGGCAGGAGACAGGAAAAGGAATGTTGCGGGACTGCCCTACTACAAGGTTGCATGTGGTTAGATTTCTGGACTTATGGGTAAACATAAGAAGTATATAATTCTTTATGCCTATTTTTAAAATATATTTTAATTTTTTAAATGTTTTTTCAGTATATTCTGTAGGGAATTAAAGCTCAACATATCAATACTTGATGAAAAATACCTGTTCCATGTTATGCCTAAGATGTTTGATATTCAGACAGATAGTGAGGTTGAGCTTAACAGCCTAGGTTGTATGGTAATAATAATAAGCTTCTCTTCTGGAGGGTTAACAACCTAAGTCTACACACCAAAATTAGAGAAAAAGGAAGGCCACAAGGAAAGCCAACATTTTGGCCCTAGCCTTCCAAGGTCAATTAAGACTCAGGGCATATGAGAACTTGTACTATAACGTCATGTAACTCAGTAGGGTCCCAAATTTTCTGATCAATGAGATTATGGGGCCAAAGAGGAAAGTGATTGATGATGTAGAGTGTGCCTAAGGAGAGTCACATGGAGAGAAAACATTCTCTCAGGCTTTCACAGAGAGCACATTGGCCAAGCAATGGCCATGACTCATCCACATGGCTGACACTGACAAAGGTTCTACAATCTGAGGTACAGGATCTCAGGATAAATCCTGAGGGGATTTCCCTAACCTTATCAGATCCAAAAGCTACAACTCTTGTTGCATAGATCTTGTTTTATCTTGGTCTTAACCATGCAGCAGAAAATTATAAAAATGAAGTATAAGAAGTAAGGCCATGTTGTTATGCTGAGCTGTAGGGGACTCAGATCAACAATTTCTGACACTACCAGTCAAGCAGAAGACCCAATACTATTATGGGCTACTGGACTCTTTTAGAATATTTTGCTGAGTTTACACACCTATAATATTCAAATGACGGAACTAAACAAAAAAGGGGATACAGATGAATGTCCATTTTGTATCTGTGTATTCAAAGTGGTTAGGATAGATATATAATTATATTCTCTTAATGAATAGAGGGATTTGTTCTAATAGTGTTTGTAAATAGGATATCATGTTCACATCTTGCACAGCAAATAGCCACTAGGAAGAGAGTATGCAATGTGTTAATTATTGAAACTCTCACACCAATTTGATTTGAAACTGTCTCATTGTTATTTGTCTCTCAATAAAATTATGGAAAGAAATAGTGGTCCTCCTGTCTCAACCTCCCCACAGAGCTGGGATTACAGTTGCGCACCACCACGCCCATTGGCTGGGTGGGTGAACCCGGGGTGAGTCTGGCAGGGCAGGCGGGTACTGAGGCTCAAACCTGGGTCTTTGCTCTCATCAGGCAGGTGTTGAGCCCACCAACCTATCTCCCCACACCTGGTATGTCATTTTTACACTGCTAATGTTTTTTTTCCTCTTGATCTATTGATCTCACTAATTTCTGCAGTTTTGTATCTGATTTGTTGTTTCTGTCAAGAATAGTCTTAAATACTTCCTCTGAAGATGATTTAGTACTCATATATCTTCTGATCTCGTTCTTTTCATGGAAATACTTTATTTTTATGTCTATTTTGGAGGTATTTTTGCTGGGTTGGAAGTTATTTGCTCTTAAGGGTTGAAATATTTCACTCTAAGTGATTCTGACCTTCAGAGTTTGCTCTGAGCAGGCTATTGTGATCCTAATTTGTTTACTTTTGTATGTGATTTGTTTTTGCTTTACTTTGCCTTTAAAATTCTGTTTTTATTTATTTTTTGCTGGATACCTGTGAATTTAAGAAGGATATCCTTAGCTAACTTCTCTTTTCATCATATTTTTGTTTTCTATAAGCATCACTTGTATTATGCACTTTTTTTTTCTGTTTGAGCACTTTTCTTCCTAATTTCTGTTGTTAGTGGATCCAAATACTATTTTCTAGTACGTCCTCTAACTCTAGGTTGTTCCTCTTTTCATTTGGTAGTGGATAGTCTTCTTTCCTTTTATTTTCTTTTTGGATTCTTTAAACTCTTTATTATAATTCACTATTTTGTGCCCAGTATCAGACACTGTCTTTATATTTGTTGTTTTTGCAATGTATCCTGTTTTTAATTTCTAGTATTTTTGTCTGATGTCTTTGCAAGGATTCCATATTCTTGTTTGATCCATCAATCAAATTTTAACTGTTTTTGTTAGCCTATCTAGTTTTTTTTACCTGTTTTCTCCAAGTTCACTATGGGAATATTGAGTGTAATTGCTGTGAACTTTTGCTCAGTTCCTCTTTAAACACATCTATTTTCTTTATCTCTATAAGATCTATTCTCAGGTTTCTGCTATGAGGTTTTTGTTTTCTTCTTTCTTAGTGGATTCTTTGCTCTGCCTTTGCTTTCTCTCTCCTGTGATACAAGATTTACTTCTGTGTCTGTATCTGTATCTGTATCTGTATCTGTATCTGTATCTATATCTATATCTACATTTATGCCTAACCTTCTTTGTTTTCACCCTCATTTTCTGTTTGGGGATTATTGCAGGTTTGGGACTAGAAAAGAGAGGATAGTATGTAGCTTATGTGAGGATTTTTAATAGGATGTTGCTTCCCCATGAGTAATTTTCAGCTCTTTATAGCCCATGCTAGTATTTACTTCTGTTATTTACTTTAAGTGATTTTAACCCTGTCCCCATGTTTTGCCAAAGAATTCATTCTACTTATAACAGCATCCACAGATTCAATTTTACAACTCTTGTATATGACAAAATATGTATACTTCACAGATTTATGCATCCTCCTTACGCAGGGGTCATGCTAATATTCTTTGTATCATTTCAATTTTATTATGTCGGCTGCTGAAGTGAGCAATTGGGAATTTCCTGCCATTATTTCTTTGAATATGATTTTTGTTCCTTTTTTTTTTTAGTTTCAGCAGCATACATATACTGCTATGCTTGATGGTGTCTCCTGCTTCCCTTAAGATATCTTTACTATTTTTCATGCTTCTATATGTTTCATTCTTCAGATTGGATGAGTTCTTGTGACATTTCTTCAAGTTCATAATGTCTTTCTTCTCTATGATCTAGACTATTGTTGCATACTTTATTGATTTTTCAGTTCATTTATTTGGTTTTATTTTTGAGATATGGTCTTATAATGTTTCATAATAACCTCAAGCTCACTAAGCAGTTCAGGCTGGTCTTAAATTGACAGACATTTTGCCTTAGCCTCTCAGAGTTCTGGGATTACAGAAAGGTACAGCCCTGCCCAGCTACAGTTTAACTATTCTACTCTTGAGTTGTATGATTTCTGTTTTGGCTTTTTTTTTCTACTAGGAATTAAACTCACAACCTTATGCTTGCCAGGCAGGCACTGTGCTGATGAGCCTGCTTCGGATTTTTAGAAACACTGGCTGATTATTGAAAAAGTTTGTGTAAGCACTGATCTACAGACCTCACTGTTTTTATGGCTGTTTTCTTTCAACAGCATTAGATTCTGGAGGGTTATTTTTTTCTTTTATGTAGAATATATTTCTCTGTTTCTCCATTTTCCTTGAATCTGTTTCTTTTTCTTGTGCAATACATAAAAAAACCATTTTCCCCAGTCCTATTACACTGGCCTCCTGGGGGAGATGGTCTTCACCAGTGAGCCCAATCAAAGATACTAAACCTTTCTCAAGTATGTTTGAGAAAGGCCAAACTCCTCTCCTTGCTCTTCATGGACCCAAGAAGTTTAGATTACTACCCTAAAACAGGTGATACAGAAGTTGGTCTTTTGGGATGCATTTGAAAATTTTGGGTTGTTAGGTGTGTGTCTTCAATCCCTTTTCCTTCTGAGAAGCTGAGACCAAGTATTTATCTCACACGTATTCTGTCCTACACCAACTAGAGGACCTGAGACAGAGATCTTCTTCAGGTATACACTCTGAGCCTATGGAGATAGCTGATGAATATGAAAATTTAAAAAATCGCCCTTTTGTCATTTGTGATTCAAGGAGATTCCGGAAATAGGAGGATGATCAATCTCAGAGCCGAGTGATTCAGAAGTCAGTCCCTGAAGAGGGAGTATAAAAATAGAGGAACCTGCTGTGCACACAAATCCTGGTGAGAGTCTGAAGACCTGGAGTCACTGTGTATAAAGTCCAGATAAAAGGCACTAAGAGTGTCCACCTTATAATCCAGGCTTACAGAGATTTTGCAAACTCTTCTCAGAGAGAATCTGGAGGCCTGTGTTTGTTGCTGGAAGAAACTAGGAAAGAAAGTACAGAGTTCCACCCTCTCACAGGCTAGTTAGAAGCTGGAAACTCAAACAGTTGCTGGAAGCATGCAGACAAAACCCTTCCTTTGGGAACCTGGAAACTGCCCTAAATCTGAAGGCCACAGCTGCTGGGAGCGCTTGTGTAAAAACCACATCTTTGTATGTTAGAGAAGTTCTGCAGTGTTACATCCTTGCTATTCCTAAGCAAAAGTACTTTCAAAGCTTTAGACAGGGGTTGTAGAAGGTGGGGCATTTTGTATGTATTTCAAACATTTTGCTTCTCAGGAAGTAGCTGGGAGTTAGAGATTCCTTCCTGACTGTAGGGAGCTGTGCTCATTGTGGAGTAGGTGTGTGTTTCTCAGCTTTTCTTACCTGCCAATGTGGCTATTCTTTTATATATTTGGCATGCAGGAGTTTTCTTTCTACTAGTTTCTGGCTTTTTCTTGGAGAAAATTGATGCATGGGTAGGAGGAGAGATTTTCAGGAACTGCTTATTCCTTTTGTTGCTTGTATCATTCTCCAGAACTATGATTTTCAAGAGACATCTTTAAATAGTAAATAGTTCCTAATGCCTTAAAATCTGTAAGTTAAGGAGATTCTTCTCACACTGTGGTTTTGATATATGAGTAGATATAATAGATATCATCTGTAACAGTGTTCCTAACAGGAGGCTATTAATAAAATGTAGATGGTAAAGATTTGATCCAGGTAAATCATATTCAGAAATGGACATAAGAGAAAAGTCCAAGAATTGACATATTTTATATATAGCATGATTATATCTTCTTCAAGTCAGATTTTTTCTACATATGACAATATATAGCTGTGCTTCTTGCATGCGAAGAAAAATGCATACTAAGCATTTTTTAAACATCTAGAATAATACCCCTTTCTTCCATCTGTTCTAGATGGTTAAACATGTTGTGGACTAGTTGCATTTTCTACAATAGTTTCTTTGAACATTAAAATGACTTAATTCTCCAAGCAGAAAATGAAAATTCTGAAACAGAGGCAGAATGACAAGTATTACTTCTGTTCAATCAAATACAGAATTTAAATAAGTGCTCTGTTTATTGCTTTGACATTTAAATCTTGCTATACTGTAATAATTAAAAGTACTCGACAGAAATTAACCAATTTAAGACAGAATAAAATGAGTCTGGTGGTCTTAGGGGAAAGCAGATATAGTCAAATAATACTAGTGGAGTCCATTTATTGTGCATAATTTTGTGAGTAAGCCATTAGTGTTTTGATTTGTGCTTGACTGGCTAAAATAATGAAGTCCATGAGGACAGCAGCAACATTTCTAACTTCACACCCATCTGCTTGTTTATTTTTGAAGTTGCTCTCAGAACAACCTGGAGGCAACATTAAGACATTCATAAGGGATAAGTGTGCTGAAGGACGAAGCAATTTTCAAAAAAAATCCAAAGGACCACATTTTGCTACTTTAAATGTAGTCCACAGGACAATAACACTGACATGTTCTGGGAGCTTGTGAGACACGTAGAATATCAGGACTCTCCCAAGCCCGCTGAAGCAGAAGCTTCATTTCAACAATATCCCCAAGTGATTGTTATTAAAATTCGAGAAGTGCTGATTATTATTAACTCCTTGAACAGATCCTTGTGAGAAGGTGCAATGGATGGCAGGAGGATTCCATGTCTCAAGATACTGTGTAGTGTAGTATTGATTCTTAGGAGGGGATTTTGATCCTGAAGTTCTGCAACTGAAGAACACACAGGGAGAAAACAAAGGAAGAAAAGCCTTCTTTGGGAAATAGCCCCTCCTGGGGATGTCCAGAGATCAATCCATCTTGTGGCACACATTTTTCTGAGAGGTTTATCAAGCTCAAAAACAAGAGTTTAATATCAGGTGGGTGGTAGTAAGGCTTTCTTGGTAAATACACAATCTACTTGTTTTTATAATTATTCATTGTTGGATCTGTAATCATCCTCCAGAAACTAATCTTTCATCACTTTATTATATCACTAGAAAATGATTAGATCTTCAAACAGTCTGCCTTTTTAATTGCACAAATAGAAATCTCTGATTTCCCACAAGAGACCACAAAGTGAAAATATTCACAATGTAAAACAAGAACTGGTGACATGCTAAATAAATAGAGTGACAGTGTCCACAATTAATCTTTTTCCAAATTTCCAAATTGGGATCCTTGCCCAAGCCATTGGACACAGAAAGTCTTGCCAGTTATACCCTGGGAAGTACAAGGAGATCCTTCCCATTTCAGGGTCTGGCAGTCAGGATTCCTCTATTTTATTTCAAAATTAATTTTCTAACTAAAACCATGTACTTTTTGTTCTCAAAGAATTTTATGGGGAGAACAGGGTGATCTAGATGGTGTAGACAAGAAATGGCCAAATGACTCCAGACTCAGCATGGAGCATGGAGGTAAGCTTGGGGGTAGTGTTTTCTACCTTCTTGGTCCCCTGTGTCTTTTCTAAATCCTTCATGCACTTCTGTTTGTAAAAGTAAGCTTCCTGGTACCTGGTTGGCTCATCAATGTGATTCCATTCAGTGATGAATGTGTAGATTAGTTGTAATTAGTGTGTTAGGTTAACCATCCACTTTAATTGATTACTCACTCTGTCACTGGACTTTCTAACCAAGCTCTGCTTGGATATATAAAATATTCTTCACTGAGTAATCCTAATGTTTTACAAAAACTCCAGCACACTGAAATTGAGCTCCTTGCTATGACATGGGAAACAGAATCCTGTTTCTCAATTTTCTGTGGGGATTAAAAGAGATAACAAATGTTAAGTCACTTAGCAAAACCAGTGGCATTCAGTAAAGAATTAAAAGGGTTTATTCCTTCTTCTCTCCTTTATGGATAATTTCTCTAGAGAACAGAGCTTAAGTCAAAATTTAAATACTAAAGCTTTACTGAGAGGAATAATCCAGGGAAACAATGTCAAGGAATTAAGAAAACGAAATAAGGGAAAAGAAAAAGCAAGCACAAAATAATCTATTACTGAGCTGGCCAGACATGATTATGAAACATGGCACCTGCTTAGCAGGACATCTCCAGAGAAGATAGCTGGAAATCCAGTTTTGGCAGTCTCTTGTGGAAGAAAAGGGGAACAGAAACTTTTGTTGAGCTCTTACTGTCTTCTGTTGCTCACTGGACAAAAATGCCCCACCCACCACTGGCACTAACTCATCTACAGTTCAAACTTATGTTACCAGATGGGTAGCAGCACAGAACCAGTGAGGGGTATCAGAATGCCATGGACACGCCATGGAAGACAATAAAAAGTAAAGTTTTGTTAACAGGTAGAGAACTAAGAAAGGCAAAGTAAAAATAAAGAATGATGACATATACTTATAAAAGTATCACAATGAAACCATTACTGAATACAATCAATAAACACTAATAAAAAGATAAATTAAGAACTTACATCTGAAATATACATAGTAAAATGTTAAAGTAGGTACTTTTAAAAGAGAAACCAAGAACCAAAAATATGAATATTTTTCAGATTTCAAGTTCAGTATCAGAGATGCAAAGAGGCCAAACAAGAATAAGAATTTAGAGCTGGGTAGATAGCTTAGTGGTCCAAGCACCTGCCTGGAAAGTGCAAGGACCT